GATGATGATGATGATGATGGTTTAAAATGATGATGCACTGTGGCAGCTCGCTTCTGTTTCCGACAAGAAACAGGCGGCTGCTGTACACTGTGCGAGTCCCATGCCATGTACGCTTCATCTGATGGTCCAGCATGCCATGCATGGCCGGGACTGTGCACACGCAGCACCTCATCAGGGCTCAGAGCAGCCAGACTGCGCTCCTGCAGTCTCAGATGTATAAGAAATGGGAAAGTAAAGATTAAAAGAAAAGAACTGACGTCACTTGGGCATTGATTTCTCCTGAACCAAGACGCTTAACAGTTAGAGGCACTTGCTACGCAGGCTGACTTTCTCCATTTACTAACATGAGATGTCATCTTCCAACAGGAAAAAGATTGTATTTATCATTACCTGCACTAAAATCGAGTGATGTCGTGCACCAATCACTTCTCTGCCAGCTCTCATCTACCCTCCACGCCAGCTTATGCCTGCTCGCCACCTGGTATCATGTCATTAGGGGGTTGACAGAAAAGTGCTGGTTGGCGGAGTGATGGGTGGTACAATTGTGCCCTGAAAGTGCCTAGTCATGTGACCTGATGAAAAAGGATGAACTGCGGGGCCAGTGCTGGCCAGGATTGATTTATTACGCTATTTGTTTTGTGTTTACTTATTCTATGTTTTCTCCCTTTATCCCCCTCTCCATCCATAAAATGTTTTGGCATGTTGAAATTCACACCACACTGCCCCGCCCGCCCAAAGGGCCTCCCTCCCTGCGACTACTCACTCATCTTCCACTTATACTTTGCTTAACAGCCATCTTAGAGTGCTTTCTTATTTATTTTTCGAAATAGCATCTTTTTGCCTTCATCTGCTCAGATCATCATGAAATCAAGCACACAGGATCGCTTTTATTTTTTGCACTTTAAGTTAGAGTAAGAGTTTTTTGCAGCTACTGTAGGCAACCAATTCTTTTCAAACCTTTTACTTATGCAATCCATCTCATCCTCCATCCCATTCCCTTGTGTGTGGGGTGAATTTCCATTATACCACTTTCAGGTATAATGACTAAATGGGCTTCAATTACTGACTTTTGTCGCTGTCGTTTTCCCTCCTTGATATGCATTTTAGTGGCCTCTGATACTGTAGCTTCTCGACTTTTTATACCTGCCTGGCTTTGGATGTGGATGTTTGCTTTGCTAGTTGGTTTTTTATTTTATTTTTAAATATCCGCCCTTTTTGGTTCCCTTGGCTTTTGCTTAAGGATCTTTAAAGTAATAACGATCAAGTGGATGGAAATTTATTTTATTTTTCTTTTCTCCCCCTATGCAGCCCTCTTCCTCTCTAGAGACTCAGGATGTAAGAATACCTTAATATGAGTTTTTTTGCACACAAACACCCAGTTATTGTGCTGAGAGTAGCTGTGGGGCACTCTGATGGTATGAGGGAGGGAGGGCACCTAATTGGTTAAAACGGCTTTTTTTTCCCATTTATTTTTGACAGGACTGCATTCCTAAATGTTTTCCAGAGTTCTGACCTTGGTCAGAATCCTAGATTCTATATATTTTAAAGTATTAAGTATGGGCATATCATAAGTCAGATTTGGCATGCTGTTTAGTTGATCCATTTTAATTTAAGATTGCTTGTGTGTTGAAATGAGGAAGTTGCAACTGTAAAGTGTGTGTTCAGGCAATAGGGTGCGTACAGGCAGAACATTTTAGATGGTTAAAGTAGTGTAACGTAGGTATCACACCCACTGACATCTTTACTAGTCATCACTCATTCCAATGCATTTCTAGGGGCCAAGTAAATGTGTCAGCACATTTCTAGAGGACTACTGTGCCATCATGTGCAGTCCCACTGTGATAATGTTGCATATACTGTAGGCAAGTGCCCTCATATCAGACTGAACAGACTATCTCCACTCTCACATCTAACAGGCTTTATTCCTTTCTTTCTCCTTCCTTGCGCATTTTACATACCCAAATGCTGTAGTCTGTCTCACAAGGACCCTCCCTCTATTTAGACAATTTAAAGTAAGGTAATTTATTGGGGTGGTGGTGGGTGGTGATGGGGCTGGTGGGAAGAGAGAATGGGTGAGACTGAAACCACGGTTATCACCCCAGCCAGAGGACATGAATAATGTTTCTACATATATTTATTTTAGGATAGGAAAAGTGGTAGAGCAGAGCCCGACCCCAAAAAGAAAGCCTCTTTTAGGTCCATCAGTACCACCCTGGCCTCCAGCATCAAGAGACGTAGGTCCTCCAAAGACACGGTAAGGAGACGAAGAAGCAACATCTTCCCTTGTTTATTCTTCTCTCTCTTTTCTATTCTCCTTCTCCTCTGTCTCTACTTCCACCCCTCTCCTTTCTCTTTCTCTGTCCTCTCTACCCACATCTCCATATCCGACCGCGAGACGACGCCATGTTCCACTCACTCATTTCCACACGGCTCCGCGGCCTCTGCCACGTGTCTGTCCGTTCACCATCGCTCAGCCATCACCATTTAGCATCTGTAGGTCCTCTACAGGCCGGAGGGCATCAGTGCAGGAACTCAGGTCAGGCCAGGCCAGGAGCTGGGCTCTGAATTTGGGGAAGGGGGCGTCCCAATTGTCCAGGATTTTCAGGGGGGGTTGGTGGGATTAGTGGCGTGTGTTCTCCTGGAGGAGGGGGGCGACAAAAGCAAGCAGTCTGCCAGTGGTGTTTGTCTTGGGCTGCTCTTCCTCCCCGCCTCTGGTTTGGACGTGGATTCTGGCGATTGTGTACTTTTTTGGTGGCGTTGTGGTGTGTGTGTGCTGTACATAAGCGCGCGCGTGTGTTGATATATTCATGTTCGTGTCCTGTCGTTTTTGACTGCTTGATCCTTTGTATATCCATTGTTTCTTTGCACCGATCCCGCCCGCACTTCCTCTGTTTGGGTTTCAGCCGCTGTTGGTTTGCTTTTGGTTTGACAAGCATGCGCTGATGTTTTGTCATTTTGTCCAAAAATCCATTTCCAAGGTGGTCGTGATGGCCAGTCTTCCTGGGAAGAAAACTAATGTGTTGTCTTATTTATCAACATGTCTATTTCAGGATTACACTCATGGATTTCTATTAATCAATTTACTTTTTGCTTTGTCATATTTTGTTTGTCATAATTCTTGTTTATTTTTCAGTGTCCTTGTGGTCTGAACTGTGCATGCCTTTTTCAGGGTATATTTTCAGGTGGTGAAGACAGTCTTCTTTTATGTTTTAATGATTGTTTTTACGGGCTACAAACTCTGTCAAGCCTTAGACTCTCACTGTGTTTCAAATACAAGCTATTCTTTTTTTTCTTTTCTTTTGACGCCATCTCTATATCTTTGCTTGACTCCTTTGTTGCAGCACAATGAGAGTGTCAGGTTTTCTCCATTCTTTCACAGTTCAGTTGAAAGGTCCTGCTCGTTGCAGTTGGGAGATTGTACTCCACAAGCTTGGAGTGCTCTGACAAACCAGTGACCCGCAGTCATTTGTGCCCAGCTGCTCCGCCAGACATAGCTGTTTGCTGACCAAATCTGTCATGAGACTCTTAAAAAAAACCCAAACCCAGCAATAATCTCTGGAGATAGCACAGACACCTTCACAGAAAGGCTGCTGTACTAACATTGTGTTTTAAATGTGTTTCTCAGGGGAGATGTAGCCTATGGAAGCTAAGCTAACGGGTCAAAAAGTAAATGTTTTTTTTTGTGTGTTTTAATTTGATCTCATGTCTTTCTCTCTTTCTCTTGTTTTAACTGTCTTTTTTTAATGGATTTTTTCGCATTGAACCAAACCAGGTTTACTCTCCCCTGGAGGTTTCTCAATAGAATTGGTCTCGTTTGAAGAGAAGAAGAGTGGGACCGCCATTGTTATTATGTCTGTGCGAGGGTTCGGATGCTGGTTTCGGAGCCCGAGTGGGGGGAAAAATGTCTCAAAATGGAAAAATATAACAGGATTTAGTGTAATCAAAAAAAGATGCTCCAATCGAAAGATTTACCATCCTCAGTCTTTGACCATTATTTTGATTTTATATAAATGTTCTTCTTTTATATTAATGGATATCAATGGACTTGAGTGTCAGTGTCCCTCACCCACATGCCACACTGCTCCTCTCTCCCTCTGCAAGCATGCCAGTAACTGTAACTGTCATAGCTGTAGTAACAGTAGAAGAAGTAGAAATAATCTTTGTAGCTGTGCCATATCTTAAGAACAATCACCATAGCTGTGTTGAATAAGTAGCTTTATAACCATTAACTGTGGTTGTGATGTCAGTGAAGTGTCTCTCTTTTGCTGGTCCACTTGACCCCAGTAGGGTGCGCTGTTAGCAGGCCCTCAAGGTACAAGACATGAGGAGACCCAAATGGGGGCTGTAAGCCATATGATGATGCAACTTGCGGGTCAAGGGGATGAGGAACATCCACTCTGACTCTATTTAGAAAATGTAACATTTTACCACTCAGTCTGGATGTTGCCCCATCTGTCAGCATGTTAGTTGCATCATAACAGCTTCTGAAGCTCATATGCTTGAATGTATTGGCTCTATCAGCTTGAAACGAGAGGCACCTAAATCCCAAGATCTTGCTTAATTGAGAAAGACAAAAAGTACATACGAGATGGGTACACCGAGGCAAGACTCTTCCCTGTTTTGGTTCGGCAGTTCATTAATGTACAGTTACTCATTTGTGATGCGTTCAGTGTCCAAACAAAAGATGTTTTCTTGCACATTGGTTGTTATGAAACCGGTTTTTCCAACATAGTGCTGTGAGTCAGGATTATGACTGGCCCTTTGGAAATTAGTTGGACAATAAAGAACATAATGCAGATGAGTTTATTACTCCACCCAATGTTCCAAAACATGAAGCTGCTCCACAAAAAATAAACAGCATGCTACTCTAAGCTCTATTTATGATGTAATTGACTATATGTTTAACGAGTTATTGTTTCAGCAGGTTTTTATATTATTGTTCATTAGCAGAAAAAGCAGCCTCAGCATTGTACAAATATGGCTTACTGCTGTCAGACCACACACTCAAAAGACTCAGTCAAAAGCAAAAATCACTGTTGCCATAGAAACTAAGCACCTGCATGGAATCGGGATCTTGTTTTCCCCTCTCAGCACTGTAGACGCCTATATTCAACGCACTCTGCTTTAAAAAAGAAGCACAGTGAAGCGGGGACTGGATGTAAGAGTCTGACACAACAGCACTTTGAAATCAGCCCAAAATTCATCCTCTCCTCCAAAGCTGCTAAAATTAGAGAAGCCGCCTGTCTGCATGCTTATAAATGACCGTGGGGAGATAAATGAGCTACGGCAGGAAAAACGTTTACCCATGTTGTAAGGCCAAAATTACACGATGCCTGATTCAAATTTGCTGTTGTCTAAACTCAGCACCTTACGTCCGCTCCCGCCTAGCCCACCTCAGGCACGACCAAACAACTTTACCAAAAAAAAAACCTAATTCAACAAAAATGGCAAAACTAAGGTGTGCCTGAGAGGGGTTAGAGAACCCTCCTGCTTCTACATTTCTGCAGAAATGAAGCACAGGTGTTCTTTAAAAAAATAAATAAAAGTGAATGTTTAGGTAATTAACGTTACTTAAGAAAAAAACCTGCCAAATGCTGCTTTTGTTAAGAAATGACACTCTGTTACGTGTCTCCCTTCCTCCTTCCCCCCCATTTCTCTTCACCTCTGCAGCAGTACCCACCCACTGACATCACGGGCCAACTCAACCTGTCTGACCCGTCTGTCAGCACCGTGGTGTAAAGAGAGGGAGACACTGACGTTCGCTCCCTGAGGAGAGAGGAAACGAGACGAGGAGGGAGAGGAGGGGAGGGGAAGAGGAAAGGGAGAGCCCATCTCCTCGTTCCCTTCGCCGTCGCAGCCGATGCTTTCATTTCACCGCCTGCCAACGGAGCTTTGGAGGAAACTGCTTGCCGAAGACGTGGCTGAAAGAACACTGAACTTGCACCTTTTTTTTTAAAGTCAGGATTACCTGGCGTTAGATGTTTGTAGGGTCCCTGAGCATGCACAGAAGAACCCATCTGACTCACATATACAATCTTTTCCTTCTGTATGTTATTAGCTAACTTATTTAACCTTGTTTTAGTCCTTTTACTCACAGAAATTTACTTAATGTTTGATGTTACCTACTTTTCAAATTTACTGACCAGCTGTATAACTTTAGCAAGCCAGGTTTAGTTTGGTTAAGTAAACGGATAAATTAGTTTTGGTGCAAGTACTGTACTCGACATATCACTTTCAATTAGGGCTTAGATACCATAGTAATATCTAGTTTTTTTTTAACAACATATACTGCAATACAAGATGTACTGTAAGCTTCAATGGATATAAGTATTTTTAATAGGAACTACCTGTGTTTTTATCTACAAGGTTTTTAAATGATGTTTCTTTCATTTGGAAGCACTGATCACGGCACTAATGATGAGGATAGGACATAAAATGTTGTCTACCAGTGAAGATACTGAAAGCATGTGTGTGCTTGTATATGAATAAGAGCTTTACGATCTGAATGATGAAATTGATTATTGCTATTTTGAAAGCTATATACCAGATTCTGTGTACCTTTTTCCCCTTTAATTTTGTACTAATCTGCCAAATGCATGTTTTATTTTAGTTTCTAGTAAGAATTCTGTTTCTTAAAGAAGATCTGCTAAGCTTTACTACTATTTATAGCAAGAGATAGGCAGGTGAATACTCAGAGTCACAGATTAATTTGCAGTCTGATGAAACTGTTCAGTAAGGCTGGTGTCTGTCCAAATGTGTTTGAGACACTCAGCCGTAAGCCATGTTACGCTTGGGGACGCCCTCTCTCTTCCTCTCTCCTGCCGCAGCAGTCTTTCTCATTTCCAGACTCCGAGGGGTTGCATCAAAGGGCCAGGTTTTTCACCCAACCAGCACTCGGTCTTTCATGCAAAACCTCCTCCCTGCGCAGCGCCGGAGAGCTTTTACACGAAGGAATCCAAGTGAATTGAAATCGTGGCTCAGCTTGAGAGCTTGTGTGCAAGTCTTGGTTAGATGCAAAAACAGGCCGTTTCCCATTTTCTGGAGCTGAGAAACCACTGCTGTTTGTTGAAAAGACACACATCACATCCTCTCTGGTGTCTGGCACTGCATAGCACTTTATGCTGAGGGGTCTCCCAAACTGTAAAAAACAATGCTATTGATTTACCAAGAAACAGAACCACTACAACATCAGACATATTAACTCCACTTTAAGATGTTTTAATTTCACAAATCTCTCTTTCATTTTACTTTATTAGAGAAACAGTAGTATCCACAAAGTCTTTATAAGAGAAATAAGGACACTTTTAAAACAACCACACAAAGTGCTAAAACAGATTTTGGGTTTTTAAACTTGAACCAAGAGTTTGCTTCTGATCCCATTCTCATTCTGCCCTATGCATGCTTACGTGTTACTATCAGTGCTTTGGTTTGTTTCTGGATGCCTGTTGTTGCTGTGTACAGTTATCCGAGCTGTTTGGAGCACTTAAGTTGAATGAACTGTAAATAGAGTCTGATTCAGTGTACATAGGGTTGAGGAGGTTGCACTGCGCTTGTATTACGACTGCAGCTGAGAATGTCTTATACTTACACACACACACACACACACACACCAGTTGTGATACGTGGGCATGCATCAACACACACATGCAAACATACACACAAAACCCCTTAAGGAAGAATCACTTGTTTTTCTTACCTTTTCCAGATCTTGCATTATATCATCTTGTTTATACAACTGTAAATAAAATATACTTACATTGCCAAGTCTAACCAATCCTGTGATTTTATTATTTTAAGGCCTGCAACTAACAATTACTTACATATTGATTGATCTGTCATTTTTTATTATTCTGTTAATTATAGGAAATATTAAAAAATGTCCAACAGTTTCCCAGCGTTCAAGGTGATATCTTCAAATAGCTTTTTTTGTCCAACCAACAGTCCAAATGAAAATATATTCAATTTGTGATGATATAAAAGCAGCAAATGCTCACTTTTGAGAAGGTGGAGCCAAAGAATGTTTGACATTTTTGCTAGATAAATGGCTTGTATTATGTCTGTAATTATTAATTACCGAAATGGTTGGCAATTAATTTTCTTTTGATTCACTGATGGATTATTCGACTCATTATTTCAACACAAATTATTTTTAGAATTGCACATTAGTAGTAAGTAAGTAAACGGTTTTGTCGCATAGCAGCTATTTTAAGAGTTTCAAATGGCTTCACAGTTAAAAATGAAAGACTGTAAGCACATACTGCACCAGGAGGAATAAAGGTATAAGGGGAGAACAAAACATACAAAAAGAAAATGTGCAGTGGGCCAGTGGTGAAGCATAAGTGCATGTTGGAGACTTTTACCATTTTTCCTGCTCTGGTCAACTTACATGTTTGATGATTTTTTTCTTAAAAGAAAAATAGAAACATGCAATGATACATTTTGTCTAGAACTTCTCCCAAAAAATCTCTCAAAGTGCAACAATGCAAAATGATAATAGTTATGTGTTGTTTGTTGTTTTGGTCTGCCTTTAGACTGTAGGGTTGACTCCTAACTGCTCTTACCAACTTCATATAAAACGGCAAGCCACACTTCCCAGCAAACAAGCTCAGACAGTCCGAGTGTTTGAGACCAGCCCAGCAGGAAGCAGCAGAGAGCCAAATCCAGTGGCTGGTGAACAATAGTTGAGACAGATCCTGTTGATGGACAAGAGTGAATCCAGGACTTACATTCATCAGGTAGACAAGACTGCATTTGGATGATTATGTTGCTCTGTGTCTGGTGAATGTATGAAGGAAAATGGTAGCTAATAGTATGTCAGGGACAAACTGTATCCTGTTTAGGTCCAGACTAAAATATCTAAAAAAAACTATTGGATAGATTACCATGACATCCCGTTAATACATTCATGGTCCTTACAGGATGAACCCTATCGTTTCACCTGATTTCATGACATTACCATCAGCCTCAGCTGTAGCTACTACTGTTGGTATTATAACATGCTAAACTGGAGATGGTGAACAAAATAACTTGCTGTTAAACATCAACATATTACCTTTATCACTGTGGACATGTTAGCATCATGCAGGTATGGATCTAGAAAAAATTCATGGGGTGGTCAGAAGGTGGCATGGAGAATTTAAGGGGTCACAGAAATATATCCTGATTTAATCGCAATCAATCACATATATCAACATTTGAACATAACATTATTGTGGGATATTAGTAAAGCATTAAACAGGAATATCTAAAGGTGGCATTAGGAATCAATAAATAATTTCCAAATCTTCAGACATGTTTCCAAATATGTCCTTTTTCGCTGAACTTTAATTGTGGTCATAACAGTTCCTTCCATTTTCAAATTAATCTAAATTAATGTATTCAATTTAACACTAAACTAGGGTGGCAAGGAATGTTTTAGGGGTGGCAGCTTCCATCCCATACCACTCCCCTAAATCCAGAACTCCACTCAAAACACCACTGCGCCTACGTTAAACTTCACAGTGCCGCTAATGTGGCTAACTTTTACTCTTGTTAATCAAGACATCTGGCTGGTTAATGTCCCTTCCACATATTTGTACCATGTTATTAAGAAAACAACTGACAAGTATGATAAAATCAACTTCTGAAGATGTCATGATGCATATGGACAGACATTAGGCTATTCTAATAACATGAAAAGGTTAATAATATGACCCTTTCAAAAGCTAAAATGCTACCCACACAGTCACCGTCACAGTCAGTAAAATCTTTAATTAAATTACGAGTGTCATCATTAATTACATCATGGCTGTCATTGTTAATTAATGACAGACCTTCCAGAAGCAGAGGTAGGTTGCAGCATATTGTCAGGCCTGTTCTGGTCCATTGACCCTCTGCCCTGATCTCAGCTGACACTCTGTCACACTCTGTCAGAGAGATTAATGTGACTGAATGCTCCAGAATTCTGTGGAACCAGATTTTAAGTACTGGTCTGAACCCTCCACTTTGATGATACACTATTGTATCAATAGCTGAATTTAGCTTTTTTAAATTTATTTATTTTCCTATTTTTGTAGTGAGTTTTGTCTAAACTAAACTCTCAATCACTGTTAGTGAAAACAGTAAAGTAGGTGATCAGAACAGTTAAATCAGAATCAGAATCAGAATTAGAAATACTTTAATAATCCCAGGGGGAAATTACTTTCGTTACAACTCCAAATCTACATACAACATATTTACATACAACATATAATAATTAAGACATATTATTATAAGTATATATATTAAAACAATTCTATATTTACACACGCAGTAAATGTAAAATTCAGGTTTGAAAATGTGCAAGAAGAAGAAAGTGCAGAAGTGGATGTCCGTGTTGAGGTCAGATTACAGAGAGGGGTGTCAGACTCTCTGAGGGGGCGTATGTAAGGTTTAATGACCACAGGCAGGATTGATTTCTGTGGCGCTCTGTGGTGCATCTGGGTGAGAGGAGTCTTCTGCTGAAGGTGCTCCTCTGCTGAGCAGTGTGTCATAGAGAGGGTGTGAAACATTGTCAAGATGACTGAAGCCTGGACAGCATCCCTCTCCTGCCACGGCGTCAAGGTGTCCAGCTCCTCCCACTACTACTGCCTCCTGATCAGTTTGCCTAGTCTGTTGGTGTCTGCGACCTTCAGCCACTGCCCGCATGTGACAGCGAAGAAGATCGCACTGGCCACAACAGACTCATAGAACATCCTCAGCATCGTCCGGCAGATGTTAAAGGACCTCAGCCTCCTTAGGAAAAAGAGTCAGCTTTGGCCCCTTTGTGTTTCTGGTCCAGTCCAACTTATTATTAAAGTACACCCCCAGGTACTTATACTCCTCTACAGTGTCCACGGGGACCCCCTGGATGGAGACAGGGGTCACAGGTGTTTTCGCCCTCCTTCAGATCTTACTATAAGCTCCTTTGTCTTTGTCACGTTGAGCTGCAGATGGTTCAGCTCACTCCAAGTGACAAAGTTGCCCACCACAGTCCTGTATTCACTCTCATCACCCTTTTCAATGCAACCAACTATTGCTGAGTCATCAGAAAACTTCTGAAGGTGGCAGGACTAACATCATACAGAACAATGTAAATGCTTAAAGGTCTAGTGTGTGACATTTAGGATACTATTGGTATAAATGGAATATAATGTGCATAGGTATGTTTTCAATGGTGTCTAATCAATTAAATATAGGAATCGTTGTGTTATTGTTACCTTAAAATGAACCTTTTATCTAGATGCTGCGGGTCGTCCTTCATGTTAAACCGCCATTTTTCTACAGTAGCATAGAACAGACAACCCAAACACTGGCTCTAGATAGGGCCTTTTGCAGCCATTATAGTTTCTCCTACAGGTTCGGAAGGCTGAGCTGTATTCAAATGGTTGCAATCTGTAAATTCACTAGATGCCACTAAATCCTACACACTGGTCATTTAAATGAAAAATGTGATAAACTGACTTAACCTGCACCTATTACATTATCAATTCCTACAGGCATCATTTGTTTGTCTTCTGTGATGATAATAAAGCTATGAAATCGTGTTTGGAAGTCTCTCTGTGTTACTGTGTTTGTTTCCTGGACTGATGCTATTCAGCCTTTTTCAGCTATGTTGAAATGTTCTCTTTCTTGATGTCTTTCTGTACACTTGGCTGTGAAAGTAACATTTTGCTGTGCCAATAAATCAATCTGAACTAAGCTGAATTGCCAGAAAAAGTCAGTATATGCTTCAGGAACTCAGCCAGAGATTTCCAGGGAAACCAATGACAACTAGCTGCTTCTAAAGATCAGAGATGAAAAGTTTTTTTCAAAAACATAAAATCAGTTCAAGAGAAAAATTAACACAAACAAAGAAAGAGAGAATGCGTGCGCTTTAAAAGCACTGCTGTATGGTGTCTATGAATTACATGCACTGCTTTGCATTGGTGTGTGTGTGTGTACAAAACTCAGATTTTCATTATACTGCATAATAAAGTCACACTATAGCCTGATAGCCAGTGGGAGAAAAGGAAAAAAGAGAGAGGGAGGAAGAGAATAAAAGAGCAAGAGAGTAATAACACCAATCAGACAGCATTAGCAGAGCAGAGACCAGTAATTGGAGCTGTGAAGTGTGACTCATTGACAGCTAGTGAGACCTGACACACACACACATACATAGAAAAACCATCAACCACTTGTACCACTCTCCTTCCTTTTTTCTGTACTGCCATCACTATTATCCCTCATCCTCTAAGTAACACACACGCCTTCCTTTTTATGCGCGCACACATACTTTTAATTTACGCAGAGACATACAATATTTTGCACATGCCTGGATTTTTCACAGCACTAATGCAATTACACACACACAATCTCCAACTCTTTCTCTTTCTCACACACTTGCGCCAACACACCCACACACAGAAATCCACACACACACACTCTCCTTCCCGGTTTGACATTCACAGTGCTGCCAGCTACGCCACATAAGAGCTCCTTCCTGTGCTGCTCGCCCACCTGCTGCATCGCACACCAAAATACTGCGAGAAAAAGCATCTTTTCAACCTTTCAGATTGAGAAACACAAAAAATGCCAATTCTTCTGCGAACATCACTCAAAATGTCCTCCGTTCCATCACACGTCTTCTTTCTCATACATAGGGGAGGTGACAGACAGATTGTGACCTTTTG